CTGGAAAGCAGCACTTGGCATGGGCAGCAATAGCTGTTCCAAGGTAGTTTTAGTGAGAGAGTTGTTTGCTTGATGAATAATGAATTTGCTTTAAAAGCACATTTTGGCTCATTCTAAGAATTACTTGTAAATGTATTTTGAATTGGGATGTGTGTGTCAAGATAATTTGGGAAGAGCAGCCTATCTTTAGCAAATACCTTGAGAGAGCAGGGATGCTTCCCCCACACAGGAACCTGAAAGGTGGGGTTTTCAAATAAATCTTGGACCCCTGATCCACTCCTTCTTCCTCTCTCTGGAAGGAGTCTGCCCAGTTTGGTGAACAGCTAAATATTTATTGAGGCAAGTATAAAAAAAAATAAAATAAAGAGGATCTAGCTTGGTAGCTAGGACATAAACTCCTAAAACTTGATATGAATGTCAGCTTAACTGCAGTGAGTGTTACATTACATAGGCTGCACTAGCATCAACAGGGACAATCATTTTTTTTATTGCAGAATGCCACTTCCACCTTTGTTTTATTTTCTCCTGTGCAATTTCCATTTTTTTTTTTACATTTGTAGAAACTTTGTGTGTGTGGATTCCTGCATGGCAGGCTAAAATCTCCTGGGCTCTCCAATGTTTCATGTTTGCTCCAAGCTGATATGGGTTCAGGTTGCCACTGACAGATGCTGTTGTTCTGTCTTCCCTTCTCCCATTTCAGGGCTGTGGATTTCTTCTCTGTCCCCTGCACCAGAACTAGCACTGTGTGGTTTGAAGGATAAACTATAAGATTTTTTTTTCCTCTACTAGTTTTCAGTATCAGTTACCTTTTGCAGACTCCTTGGAATTTCTTCCTAATATCTAGTCTAAATCGACCCTCTTTCAGTTTAAAACCATTTACCCTTCATCCTATCACTACACCCTCCTTTAGAGTCCCTCCCCATCTTTCCTGTAGGCTCCCTTTAAGTACTGGAAGGCTTCTATAAGGTTTCCTTAGAGCCTTCTTTTCTCTAGGCTGAACAATGCCAACCCTCTCAACCTGCCCTCACAGTGGAGGAGCTCCAGCCCCCTGATCTCCATGGCCCTCCTCTGGACCCACTAGAGCAGGTCCATGCCTTTGTTATGTTGGACACCCCAGAGCTGGGCACAGTACTACAGATGGGGTCTCACCAGAGCAGAGTAGAGCAGCAGAATCGTCTCCATTGACCTGCTGGCCATGGTTTTTTTTGATGCAGCCCAGGATGCAATTGGCTCTCTGGGCCATAAGTGCACATTGCAGGTTCACATTCAATTTTTCATCCACCAGTAACCCTAAGTCCTTCTCCTCAGGGCTGCTCTCAATCCACACATCACCCAGCCTTTATCCATGTTTGAGATTGCCCTGACACAGGTGCAGTACCTTACATTTGGCCTCATTGAACTTCATGAGGTTTGCATGGGCCCACCACTTTAGCCTGTCCAGGTCCCTCTGGATGGCATCCCTTCCCTCTATAGTATCAATCACTCAATCCCACTGTGCATGTCCCTGACAAAGATGTTAAATAATGTTGGTCCCAGACTCCTGAGGGACACTGCTTGTCACTGTTCTACACCCATATATTAAGCTGATGACCACAACCCTTTGAATGCAACCATCCAGCCAATTCCTTGTCCACCAGATGGTCCACCCTTCAAGTCTGTGTCTCTCCATTTTAGAGACAAGGATGTGTGTGGGACAGTATGAAATGCTTTGCACAAGTCCAGGTAGATGACATCAGTTGCTCTTCCCTTATCCATCAGTGCTGTGACGGCGTTGTAGAAGGCCAGCAAATTTGTAGATTTTGCCGGGTTTGGTCTTATGCTGTCGTGTAATTGCACCCTGCAGCAGTAGTATTTTCCCTGGCTGAGGCTCAGCTCTCCTCTGAATGCCAGGGACTGGGCCAGTGCAATGCCAGGGGCTGTAAATCCCACAGCATCACTGGAATTAGCTTGCTGATAATGCCGTTAGTGCCAGCCTGGGAATGGAGTAGGGAGGGGGGAAATCGATGTATAAGCTTCGACCGTGCTGCTGCAGTGAGTGAGGCTTGTTGAATGAGAGACTTGGACAGAAACCAAGTGAAGTGATGGTATGTAGGGCTGCTGCAGAGCTGGGGTGTTAATGACGTGCCGGCTAGGAAGAGTAAGTGGGATCTGAGACAATGTTGCGCTCTTATGGCATCTTTGTTGGATATGGTAGAGGGAAATTAAGCTTTTCTGTTATAATATTTCCATATGGAGCTACTGTTACACATGGAACTAGACTAACATTTGTGATGAGAGTGGAAGGGTAAACAGCGTTAGATGCTTCTGTGGTTCCTTGTCACTTCCCTTCCCTATCTAAAAATACAGTAACAAGAATATGGGGGGGGGGGAAAGCAGGGGGCATCACTGAAATACAGACTCTGTAGTTCTTACAGGGTACGAAGGATGATTTATATTTTTAATGATTACAATATACCAAGTGTGAATTGGATCCTTCTCAATGCAAGGAATTAATTATGCTGCCTACAAGTTGAAGTAATGTGAAGGAGGACCGCACAATCCTTCCCTTGTGCTGCCAGTGCACCTGCACAACACCTCCTGGTCCACTTCCAGGCTGCTTTTAGGCAGTATTAATTTGTGTCTTGTGTGGCTTGTAGTAAGACAGAAGCTGACAGTAAGCATCAGAGTAGACACTTGACAAGATATGAAAGTATAATGGTGAGTAAAGATAGGGTAACCTGACTCTCAGAGAAATGTTTATCCTCTTTGTTTGCTTTCCAGAGTTCTGGTTCACTATTAATTTTTTAACTTTAAATCCTCAGTCTTTATTGATCAGCAGTAAGGTTTTGGTATTTGCATTTCCCTGCTGTGAAGAGTTATGTCATTTTCCTTTTTATCTCCTCAAATATGTATCTTCTCTAATTTCATTCAGTGATGGTTATTCACATGCTACCTAAAACAGAGCACAGAAAGTCTGTCTTTGTGCCATTTCATTATTTTGTATCATTGCATTGTCTCCTGTAATCTCTCCTTTGTAAGGAAAATAGTCAGCCTTTTCTGTCTCTTCTCATATTAAAATTTATCCTGATCTTTATTGTTCCCACTACTATTATTGTCTGAATACCCTCTAACATTGGAGTGTCCATTTTTGGAGGTGCTGTTACCCATGCAGCATGTGGCGTGGCAGAGATAATACTGATCTACATTAGAGCAATGTTACCTCCCTGCTGATCACCATTTTATTCCTCATTTATCCTAGTATTTTTTTAACTGCAGTTAAGAATTTCATTTAGAAGACTGGCCTTCCTTGAGAAATGTTCTGTGACCCTGAGGTGCCTTTACTGAATTGATAAGGTTTGCTTTAAGAGGTATTAGAGCATGTGTAGTTACATTTTCCCTCTAGTACCTGCTACTTTTAATGTTGAGCTCATCATGATACTGTCTTTTCACCTACCATTTTTTAGGTTTATCTTTAAATTCTTCATTGTAATTTTTGGTCTTTCCTCAACTAAATAATTGTGTTTTGTCTACAGACTTTGCTACCTTGTTGCTCATAATCTTTTCCAGATCAAGAGTAAATATGCTAAAGCACACAGAACTGAGTTTACCAGACTTTTTTCCTGATGTGAAAAAAAAATATATATATTTTGAGACTTCAGTTAAGCTACTTAGATGATTTGATAAATTCTTTTTATTTATGGATGTCAATAGCTGAAAGGCCTAGATTGCTGCTACTTTTTGCCATACAAAAACCAGAAAAATACTAAAGCTCTACCAAACTGTCTTACAGACCCTGTCCAGAAGAATTTCAAATCCCTATTTGGAAACTCCTTCAAACAAGGTACTTGTCAAGCTTCCTTTTAATTTCAGTTCATCAAACAACATATTAGTAATCTTTTCGCTTTTGTTCAGCCTCTTAATCATAGCTTTGAAGACACTTGTGAGTGTGGCCTGTGGTTAAATCCAGTTAACAAGTTATAATTTGTGTGCGTTAGAAGTTGTCTACTTCTATTACTGAATTTGCAAACTGAATTGTTGTGAATTCTGACACGTACTCACTTCCCAGCCATTTAAACAATTGCTGCCATTTAGCTTACTTTTGCACTATTTGAGACCTCTGGTTTTTTTGCATTTCATAAGATGTTACTGTCTCAGGAATATTTAATATTCCTTGGAAGATTCCTAAACATAGGAAACAAAAAAAACAAAAAAAAACCAAACAAACAAGTAAAACCACAGCATTTTTTTCTTTCAAGTTAGTTATTTATGTTACTGATGTCTTTTGCTGGGGTGATGAGGAAGCATCACAACAGAAACCTGAGTTAAATTCATCAGAGAGGAGTACAGAGTCCAGGTGGAACGTGCTTTTATGGAAGATGGAGTTGGGTCCTGTTTTGATAGACCCATCTGCAGCCTTGAGGTGCAAGGTAGCAATCAGGTGTGGGGGAAGTCAGTGGTGTGTCCATCCTGAAAGATCACAGCCTCCCGGCAATTACCTGACATGTAGCTGTCATAGGATACCTCCTATACTACCTAGCTCCGAAGCTTCTGAACAAAACACCTATGAAAAGGTGTTTTAATGTGTCTTAGGCTTACATTATTTAGCTCAAGTACATATGGAATAATGTTTAATCTTAACTGTATTTGTGTGGTTTTGTAATGGTTAATATAGTCTTTTTGCCTTGCTAGAATAACAGTTGTTTTCATTTGAACTTGTCTGTTGTTCAAAGGTAAACCTGACAGATAGTAAAACCTCTACTTTCCTAAGGCAGCAAATGTAAAAGTAGCCCAGCTCATGGGGTCATCTGCAACCTGTGATACAACTGGGTATGGCAGAAGTTGCGGTACATTTCCTGTGAGGCTTTGACTCTTTGCTTGTGGTTTAGCTGGGGAAAGGCATTGCTTGGAGGGAGGGAGCGGACAGTGGCAAAGCAATTTAGTACAGCAG